GTCCTTTCAGTCCACACGCCGACGCTCTATCCACTGAGCCAAACCGGTTTCGGCTAGCTTCTATATTTGTTACAATGTTTCTTAAACTGCAGGCTCAGAGGCTGGCAAGGCAGGTGGGGAACGTTGGAGTCCACCATCACTGAAGCAAGCAAGCCTCATGTTTGTTTCAAGCTGCCTGGCTGCCGGCTGCCATCTTGGCAGGCAGTTAATTTGCATATCTCGATGATTAGCCAATGGGAAGGGTAGCGGTCGTACGCTAATTACCATGTTTCTCTTTTATTAGATAGGATTCTAAATACAAATTTACTGACCATAACCACTTCAAGTAATTGTCATGCTATGCAAGTAAATTAATAGCTTTCAAAATCTCCATATGAGCAGACATGAACTTACAAAAGGAAAAAATAATTCAGCTTTTCAGTAAAAATGGAACTAGAATGCCTTAATAGATAGGTTACTAAAAAGTTAGGATTAAGCAAAATTGAGACACAGCACTACAAAGAATGAACTGCCTTAAGAAAACAGGGTTGCCCTAGCTGGTTTGGCTCAGCAGATAGAGCATCGACCTGTGGACTGAAGGGTTCCAGGTTTGATTCCGGTCAAGGGCATGTACCTTAGTTGTGGGCACATCCTCAGTAGGGGGTGTGCAGGAGGCAGCTGATCGATGTTTCTAACTCTCTCTATCCCTTACCCTTCCTCTCTGTAAAAAATCAATAAGATATATTTTTAAAAAGAAAAGAAAACCTGGTTGCCCAGTTGGTATGGCTCAGTGGTTGAGCATCAACCCATAAACCAGATGGTCATGGCTCGATTCCTGGTCAGGGCACATGCCCAGGTTTTCAGCAACCGATGATTATCTCTCATTGACTAGAGGCCCAGTGCATGAAATGCCAGCAGGATACTCCCTCCCTCGCCCCTCCCCACCTGCTGCTGGCTGCCGCTGCAGAGGCTGGGGCCTCCCTCCCTTCCCCCAGCAGGTCCCACCCCCTGGTCAAACTCCTGGACGAACTCTCAGTGGAAGGGACAATTTGCATATTATGCTTTTATTATATAGGATATCTTCAAATACTCTAGTATTCCAAATTTCCAATGGTCTGACATATTTTGTATAATGTATCTTTTGAACCACGATCCAAATAAAGTCCTACTTTATGATTTTTAAATCTGTTTCCTTGCATTTTTAAAGCAATTTTTCTAATCTATTTTTACTTTAAAACACTTTTAAAACTATGGTTTTATTGATTTTACAGAGAGGGAGTGGGAAAGGGAGACATAGAAACATTAATGAAGAAAGAGAATGT